AGTTCCCATTGATTTAGCTTGGAAAGCGGGGAGAATGGCGCTAGGCTTACCGCACCGTGACGTCACTGATGGAAGATGGCAGGAGGAAGGGGTTACTATGTTATGGGGAAAAATGGCCGCTCCCAGACTCAGTGATCGCGCTAAAAATGAGTCACTGCGAATGTATTAGTTTTAGGTATAAATAATGATCCACTGGTTATTCCTTGCTGACCGGACTCTTCCTTTAAAGTGACCTCATCATATATTCTGATCATTAGAAAAAAACACAAAAAAATGCATCATCAAATAAAACAATATATTTACACTGAGCATGATTAGTAGACATCTTTGCATCCCCTCCCCCGCCCCCAATCTATCACCTTCTCAGCCTGTGCCTCCAAAGACTTCAGGTTGTTGGTGACGTTCTTCAGCTCCTCCTCCAGTTCAGCACATTTACTGGGATTTTATGGAAAAAAAAAAGATGACTGTAAGGGCATTACTCCAACATGGCAGAAGTGAACACTCGTGTGTAAAAGCTCATTTAAAGTGCTAGAGTTCAGTCCCCATGGCGGCAGCCGGGGAAAAGACTTCAAACAGTAAACCGTCTGAGGCGTGTCTATGTGACTTTCAGACACAAAGAAAACAGGAAACAAACAAACCAGCTGTTATTATTTAATGGCAGACAGCTGAGCCAGAGGCGATGCATTTCTCATGTTCAAGTTGATCAGGAAGCTCTCCTGAGGCAGTGCTTTATTCTGAATAAGATCAGTTTGGAATGTTGCAGAACTGATAATAAAATGTGCAAAGATGCCATCATGTGAGGCAGGCCGCTGGCTCTGATGGAGGTTTTTTTTTTTTTTGTTGGCAAAACGTTATTTTTATTTGTATTTATCCGACTGTGTTAATCATTATTCCCCCTATAATGAAAAAAGTCATAATTTATTATTATCTAGAGCAGGGGTCACCAACCTTTTTAAGGCTGAGGGCCACTTCAATGGTACCGAGACGCAGGAAGGGCGACCATTACTGACCCATGAGCTGCAAGGGTTAGCGTTAGCCTAAACCTTGTAGATTATCAAGTTATTTTTATTGTTTCTGTTAATTTCTAAGTTTATTTAGACATTAGCTACGTTTACATGCGCAAAATTTCCCCGATCCGATCCAAACCTTGGTTGATCGGAAATTCAAAATCTCC